TTAATATTACTAATCGGAAGCGGCCTCCACCCAGGCATTCCGATCATTTGACCTTACTGAATATATTAGCTTTCTAATACTTCTGAACCCGCTATCAGAATAATACACTTGTTAGAAGGAAACCATTCCTTTCATGCATAGCTAAGAAAGAAGCACACAAAACCATGGAAGACCTTTATGTCGGTATATGTGGAATGCATATGAATGCTACGATGTTAGTCAAAAAGATTCAACGACAAGGTTATTAATTAAATACTATGGAGATAGATTGTCACGAATACGTCAAGAAATGTATGAAGTTTCAAGTCTACGCATATTTGCAACACGTTCCACTTTCGCTTCTCTACACATACACTTTCTCATGGCCTTTCTCTACTTGGGGTATCGACATCATTAGAAAGATAACACCACCAGGACATGGGGGGACATGAGTTCATCCTTGTAGCAATCGACTTCTTCACTAAATGGGTCAAAGCTGCCTCATATGCTAAGCTCATAGCAAAACATGTAGCTCAATTGATTGAGAAAAGTATCATATGCCGCTATAGGGTACCTCATGAGATGATCAATAATAATGGGACGCATTTCCAAGCCGAGTGCGCAGAACTATTAAAGATATATTATATCAAGCATCACAGATCATCACCTTACAGGCAACAAAAAAAATGGAGCGGTCGAACCGGCCAACAAGAATGTATAAAATATCATCGAAAAGATGACGGAAAATTACAAGGATTGGCCAAGTAAGCTACATTTCGCCCTTTGGGGTTATCGAACCTCTATTCGTACATCAATGGGGGATACCCCTTTCTCTTTGGTCTATGAAGTTGAAGCTGTACAACCAATAGAGCTCAAAATCCCTTCTCTCTGAATTGCGTTAGAAAGCCAACTAGATGAAGTCGACTAGATTAGAGTAAGATATGATGAACTAGTCTTGCTTGACGAAAAACGCTTGGCAGCTTTGCATAATGTCCAAACCTACCAACAACGTATGGCGCAACATTTCAATAAATAAGTCAAGACTAGGAACATCAAGGAAGGTGACTTGGTGTTTAAGGCACTTCGCAAAAATGTGTTGGATCCAAGAGGAAAATTTAGACCAAACTAGTCAGGTCCGTAGATTTTTAAATCCATTTTATCTGGCGGAGCGGCACAATTGGTAAACATGGATGGCAACGGTTTCCACAATTTAACCAACTTGATCAACTCAAGAAATTTTATGCCTAGTTGGGGTTCATCACCCGATAGAGCTACGTTTAACCTGATTCCTTTTCAAGGATACGTAGGCAACCCCTCAAGGGGGCCTGGCCACTTTAAAAAAATAAAATCTTTTCTCCGTCGATCAAATACAACACACAAAACAGCAAAATGGAACTAAATCAAGAAAATCATACATTGCGCCAGTTCAGCATCCACCACGCCACGGCAGCCGCCACTGTTGCACGGCAAAACACCCCGTGACACGGAAAAAAATAAATAAATAAAAATAAAATTGATGTCGTGCCACGTCAGCATCCACCGTGCCGCGGGAATGTTTATCGTGTCACAGTAGTTTTTATCGTGGCACGGTGGATTTCCAGCAAAAAAAAAAACAAAAAACAAACCTTGCGTCACGGTATTTTCCAGCATGACGCGGCGGATTTTTCCGTGGCACGGCAAAACCGGACTTTGCGAATTCTGTTATTATTACTTGTTCGACGATAGTTTTTATTCTTCCATTGTGTCTGACTTCTTGACTCAAATATATAAAAAATAAAATAAAAACATAAAATAAAAAGTCATTGTAATTTTAAGGCGAAAATAAATATGCTACTATTATTGAAATAAATGTGACTATAGTTATTGGCATCATGCGCCTTATTTTAAAATTAAAAATTATAAAGCAAAGCAATATTGATCTAATCCTTCTTCACTTTAGGAACCTCCCTCTCTTTTCAACTAGGTCGACCTTCACCATTAATGTGTCTTTTGTAGCCCGAACCATCACACCCCTAGTTGAGCTTTCACTCCTTTCACCTTTCTTAGAATTCTTCGATTGCTTCTCTCTATAAACCATCTTTTCCTTACCCTTTCCTTTCACATAATTCTTCTTTTTAGGCATTATAAAAGTCTTAAACTCAATTCCTTGTGTTCTTGGACCTAGACGTTCTTTAGGAGGTGCCTTCTTACTTCCAAGACGTCCCTTCACATCAAAAGTGTGTGATTTGACTTGATCCCTTCTACTTCTAGAATTCAACCATGCCTTGTATGCACTAGACAAGGGAGAAGGAGCTTGGTTACTCGCAAAATCGGTCAACTAAGGTCTTCTAATCCAATAAGTCTCGTACTTATGAACGTTATTTTCATGCAATGGTACTTCACGAGGACTATCGTTATAGCGTGGAACTACTTGTTCAAGTCCATGTTGTCGCATTAATCGAGAAGGGCAATAAAAAGTCAACTTTGAAATGCTAGGAACGCGACAATACGGGGGTATCATTTGTGCCGACCATCGTAGTAAGCCTCCACCATGGCACCACCCACCGAATGAAAAATTCTCTCTTTGCAAAGAAGACCTTCCAATCATCATATGACATGTTTGCAGAGTAATTCTTCTTCCTACGGACCAGATCATTGGGGCCATATTTTTCAATATCGCCGGGGGCTTCAAAAAGTTCTAAACGCTCCATCAACCAAATCTGCAAAAAAATATATAAAATCAGTCGAAAAACAAATTGCAGAAAACCACCGTGACACGACAGAATGCATCGTGTCACAATAGACATACATCGTGAGACGGTGACTTCAATGTGTCACGGGGGCTAATTGGAGCGCATTTTTACCTGTAACAGTACTAGAGAGCCCTTCCTGATGGCTTTCCGGTTAGCTTTTGCTTTGTCAAGGCCGCGCAAAGTTTCTCCATGGCAAGTAGGCGTAGGAGATCTCCCTGATTCAACATGTTCAAGCACTGACGCTAAACAAGCATGTACTACCCTACCGTTTGCAAATAAAAGCTTGCTAAACATGCAATAAATATAAGCCCTTCTACGGTATACATGATAAGACTCAGAGATAGGACGGTTGAAATACAAGTTTGCAAGATTTTCTAAATCTACTTCATTACCACACACAATTTTATTTAAATTTGGATCTGTCAGATTCTGATGGCGTTCGAAGTCTTGGTAATAATACTCACGCAGGGTAGGCATTGCAATGAGATTTCTGGCAGGAAAACCAAATATGGCACCAAATTCCTCCGGGACAGATTTTATCATAATTAAATTTGAAACAATGTCTTTCTGGACTCCAATAATCTAAAACTGCCCTAAGATAATCATGTTCAATTGCTACATGCCTCAAGGCTAATAAGCCACTGACATGAAACAATTCCAGCTCTCTTTTGTCATCATTATGACAAAGAATAAGACCAGTCGCGCAATGTATGATCAAAATTCTGAGACATTATTATTGAAATATGAAATTCTAATTATTTTATGTTACGTAATTATGCATATCACAAATAAACTAGTCCTCTTTTATAGCCAAAACGCTTGGAAATACTCAAAATCTATCTTTCTATGCGCGCAAACTACACCGCTGCAGAATACGCGGACCATGGCACGGGAAATTCCACCGTGTCACGGGAATCAGTGCCGCGACACGGCATGCTTTGCCGTGACACTTTGTACACTGCCGTGTCGCGGTGCCCACGCGTCTTCATATTTTTATCCTTTACCTATTTTTTTCCGGATTTTTATGTTTTTGCCTTCACCGTTTATCTGTTTTTCAAGAGTTTAATTCCTGATAAATTCTCCTTTTATTTTATTTTGTTTTATTTTATTTTTTTTTATTTTATTCTTTATTATTATTTTATTTTTTATTTCTATTTTTTTTTTGGGAAGTTATAAAACTTATCCCATTTTCATGTTTATTTTTATTTTTATTTTTCTTTTTATTTTGGGGATTTGTAAAACTTGTTTTATTTTCTTTTATATTTCTATTTTCTTTTGGGAAAATCGTAAAATTTGTCCCATTTTTCATTTTCTTTTTTCTTTTGGGGAAGGTCGTTACCTGCAGACACCTAAAATTGTCTCCCAAAAACCAAACCCGATGATGAACAACCTTTCACCGTCACTATTGGCCGGATTCAGTATATAATCCCGAGAGTGCTTAAAAAATCGTATTTAAATAATCCATGGATCAGTCTTGATGTTTAGTCAAAGCATAGTTTTTTTTTTTAATTTCAGCCCAAACCTTTTTTTTGTTTTATTGTTTTATTACTTATTTTGGCCCAAACATTTTATATTATTTACTTATTTTCTTATTTTAGCCTAAATGCTAATAATAAATCAGAAATGGCCCGAAATTATCAATCGGCACTTAAAATGCTGAACGAAATTAGGGTTAAAAATGAATTTAGACAGAAAAACGGACCAGGACTCCCGCACCATGGCATTTGTGCACCGAGTCACGGGAAACTGTCCCGTCTGACGATGGGATTCCCCATGACACGGGCCACCTGCTGTGACACGGGGGTTTCCGTGTGCTTTCCGCGTAAACCCTCAATACTACAAAAAGCGTGTTTTTTGGACGCTTTTTAAGTCTTTTTTCGACGCAAAAAAGCGTCGAAAAAAAATTTCTCGACGCTACTAAAAAAGCGTCCAGAATCCGTGAGTCGAGAATTTTGAGGGACACAAAAAAGCGTCGAGAATTTCGACGCTTTTTTGTGTACAAACTAATATACGAAGTGTCAGAAAATACTAATTTCGCGCATTTTCACAACTTTGTATAGTTTTTTTAGTGACGCTTTTACATGTCCAAAATTATTTTTAAGCTTTTTTTTTTTATTTTTTTTCCTTGTATTAAATTATTACCATCATACATACAATAGTTATTTAAATTTATCATAAGTTAAATTAAGAATATTAAATTTAAAGTAAACAAATATTCTATATAACTAGATCAGATTACAAAAAAAAAAATAATAATAATAATTAATCAACAATAATAATAGTACATAGTTAATTAAATTACCAAATTTATAAACGAAAACATCAACACAATTAATTATAAAAAATAAAAGGTCGCATATTATAGTAGCTTCTCCCTAAATAAATACATCACTAATATAATTAAGACAAAACCAAAATAGATAGATGATGGCGTTATAGAAGATGTAGTCGCTTGTTTTGATGCTCAAGTGTTCTGGCCTATTCTCTTGTTGCACCTACATTGCCTTTTCCAATCTTCAAAAAACAAAAATACAAAGTATAAATTAGTACAATACACAATATAAACTTATTCACACACACACACACACACACACAAGCTTATAATTCCATCTTTCCATTGCTAGCAACCACCACATACGAACATAAATCAGCAATCAAATGAGGAGCACAACCAAATACTAGGGTACCACTAACGGGCTGTCCATGATTATCCACTACAATGCCCGAATTATCAACTAGTAGAAGCACCTTCTTATTTTTTGACAACAATTTGAGACAAGGAATAGCGGCTGTGTTAGGCAAAACAACATGAATTGTAAATACCAGAATTACCAGATGGGTTTTTGTATCTAGTTGATCTGCAATCAAATACCAGAATTACCAAATACCAGTGTACCACCAACTCAGCAACTGATCAGCATGGATCTGCAATTGTTACCGCCTGTGAAAATATCAAATCAACATGCCCTGTAATACAGGACATCAAACTATAAGCATTATCAGTCCTTAAAATCAATGAATCATCAAGCCACGCCATACTCTTCACACCATCAATACAGGACATTTCCTTCAAAACCACGAACAACCCACGTTTCCCATCGACCTCTCGATCATGCTTACTACTGCCTGAATTCAGCTCAATGAACACCACTTTGTTCCCCATCGCCACCACAAAAAGGTAGGCACCATTATTATCCACTCCCCTAGAACTGAATTCCTTAACCCTCGCCCCATTCGATCTAACCCCGCCACCTAACTTTTTCATAAGCCTCCCACCTATACTACTACCACTACTACGAACTCCCTGTTCATTAATCCAATTAGAATTTCTAGATTCAGTACTACAAACCCTTCTAGCAACAACATTAACACTCTTCAGAATCCCTAACTTTTTCACAGGTTATAACAATTGCAGATCAACTAGATACAAAAACCCATCAGATAGAACAAAAATTCTACCAATTTGATTAACAACATGAATTGAATTAATACCAGAATGACTGATACTAACACATCAGATATAATTTGTTTTCAAGCACAATAATCCTATAAGATTATTAACAAATTAAAATAGCCATTTCATTCACCAATTGTAAATAAGCTTTAAGCATACAAGAACTCAAGAGTGAACTTGATTGCATGAAAGACCAAACACATATTAAAATCAGATTAGTCTAATAAGCAACAACTTAATAGTTAAGTATAAATGTATCAAATCTGATTTTCAGATTTGAAATTTAGTTCTGAACTTCAGATCTGAAATTCAGCTCTGAATTCAGTTCTGAAATTCAGCTCTGAATTCAGTTCTAAAATTCAGCTCATAATTCAGTTCTGAAATTCAGCTCTGAATTCAGTTCTGAAATTCAGATCTGAATTCAGTTCTTAAATTCAGCTCTAATTCAGTTCCGAAATTCAGAGCTGGATTCAGTTCTAGATTTTATCTTAGTATTCAGTTTAAGGGTAACGTAGATAATGAGCCGAGGCAAGCATGGGTTCCTCTGCTTACCTCAGTCCAAAGCTTAGAAAATAAAGGCACTACACTCGGCTTAAGCTATGGCAACAAGATGGAGCCAATATTAATTAATTATAAACCCCCTAAGTAATTCATAAGCAATAAGCCTTTTGGGCCAAGATAATATAACCATCAGTATGAGCCATGCAATTATAAGACTTTTGGTCCTCCATAATGTTTTCAACCATAGAGCAAAGCAAGCAAATGTTTATAAAATTAAACAGCTCAAACCAGCTTCTAATGAATGAGTAGAACCATCAATATGAGCCATGCAATTATAACAGTTTTAGTCTACAATAACATTTACAACCAAAGAGAAAAACAAGCAAATGTCTATATATAAAAGGACACAACTCAAACCAGCTTCTAACGAATGTGGAGGAAATTATAACGCGGAAAAAAAAATTACCAATGAACAAAGATATCATGTCTCTTAAGCAAGTTTGAGATTACTCATGTTTATAAAGATATCATGTCTCATTATGACTTTAGCAAACCCACAAAGATTTCAGAAAACCAAGTCAATCTAGTTCTAGGTCAATCTATTTTTCATCAGACTAATAAAGCAATTACACAATTCAATACTTACCATGCAAAGAAATACTTCATCAAATATAAATAGGGACTCTAGCATCTAAGAACAACACATGTTATAAAGAGAAATGCAACTTTGTTACCTAATGGTTTGACATTTCTAAGAATTCATGTGTTTTCTTTAGAAGAATTGGAGATCTATTCCCGTGACGAACTACACCTACAATCTCAGAAAACTGTCCAACAAGTGCGTTAAGAAGAAAATTATTGTGTCCGACTAGTAATCACCTCTCATAGTATTCTACATAAAATGTTACATAGAGTTGCTACATTATTAAAATATTAACTAGCTAAAACAAAAGTCCAATAAACGAAAGTTTAATAATGCAAGCTAAGCTAAGATACAGAGGCTATACAATGTAACTTTTAGGGGAAAAAATGTATAAACAATATCTTCCATCTATCCTTTATCAATATTGTTACTCAAAATTTTCACAAAAAAAGAAAATTCAAATTTCAAGGAAAATAAAGAGTAATGCAGAGCTATATACCTTCAAATCTGTAACGACACCTAAGGTGCAGCCCCTTGGTATCATCACCTATGAGAGAAAGTGTACATCAATATAGCACAATGAAAAATCTAAAACATTACATCAACTATCATAACAAAGAAACTGCATACTACTTAAAAGTTGCCTCAATGTAGCCCACACATAAATCACACAACATCAATTTAAGAATTGAGATAATAAAATAAGAAAAAGGGAAAGAAAGAGACATAGAGCTAGTTAAGAACAAAGCTAATGCGTCTCTTTGCAAATATATTTAATAATTCTTAATCCACTTACTGGTCAAAGAGAAGACCATCTTACATTAATCGAGAAAGAACATTTGAATCCCTTATCTTATACTCTGTAATGTAATAGAAGGCTCACAATATATGTTGCAATTTTGGGTTGGCTTGTAAGAAACGGTAAGCTCAAGTTTTTCAACCAAAAAGACTTCCACTTAAAAAGGTTCAGTAAACTAGCCTGAAATTATGATATTCTTCTTCCTTGAGTCCTTGTTCATCACATCTACATAGCATTCTAGCAAGATAATACTTTGAACATAATCCGCTAACTCGGCTTAAATAACTTCTAAGCAATATTTTCCATTTGTTTCAAAGTCATCCCCTAACCTCTGAGGATTCAAAAACATACTAAAAACCTTTTATTATTGTCGATTTGGTTTCAAATTATTATCGGAAAAAATTAATGCAAATTCATATAAATTTGCAGACTTTTAGAATTTAGAAAGAAAAAAGATTTTAAATTACATTTTTACCTTAAAACTGTAAAAAAGAACCTCAAAATATTTTAGCACAATAAAAAATTAAAAAAAAAAAAAAAACAGAAAAAAAAAACAGATTGTTCTTAAGTAATAGAAGGTGAGTAGCCAACTCAAAATGGTGCTTCGCTCAAACATAAAATAAAAGAAGGCTAATTTTTCCAGAATTTTATCAGAACAGTAGCACAAAATTGAACTCAATGATATGTATAGAAAAACCCTAAAATATCAATTTCTCATGAATCAAACCCATTTCAGACAAAATTTTCGTGAAATTATTGTAAAATATACTCTATAAACAAGCTATAGGACTCAAATCAAAGAAAAACTGAAGACCAAAAGGAAAGGATGTACCTCAATTTTATCGGCAAAGAGAGGACGAAATTAAATACCATTGAAGGCCAGCGGGAAGAGAAAATTAGGCAAGCAAAATTATTAATGAGCAGTGCAAAGGGAACGAATTGAAGATCTGACATTAAAATCCATGATTTTCTTAATCACTTTGCAGAATTTCGTAAGATATAGGAGAGATGAATAGTTAGGGTTAAGAAGTGAGAGCTCAGAGAAGTGAGAAGGGTTTTCAAGTTTAGTACTGTGGGCAGTTTTGTTATTTCCAAAATTTTAAAACCGTACGTGGGTAGAGCCAATTAAACTCACGAGCCCTGCACGTGTTGTTCTCGACGCTTATTTATGTCGAAAATCAATCTAGGCGTCGAGAAAACACACATATTGTATTTACCACCTGACGCCCTAGACTAAGCGTCGAGGCTAAAGCGCCGAGAAAACACTCATTTTGTAGTAGTGCCTTAACGTATTTTCTCCCCATTCACTAAATATTTCCCGCGTCACACAGCTGACATCGTGTCACGGGAATGTTTTCCGTCTGAAAGTGGGATTTCCCGTGTCACGATACACTTTGCCGTGTCGCGGTATTCCTTTTTAGGGTTTTTATCTTTTTAGGGTTCCGTGTGTTCCCTCAGCACATTTTTTCTATAAATACCCCCTCATTTCTTATGTACGGGGCATCAATTATTTCTCTATTTTTCTCTCTTCTACGCTCCAGCCTAAACACTAGCCTACCCTTCTTCTTTCAAAATTCCTTCTTCAGCACTCCAAGGAGTCCATACTTTACTCGTGGTTCTATCCTTAAGCCAAGGCGTGAAAGGTAGAACTGTTCGAGGGTTTGGCCCCAAATCAATTCTATTTAATTTAATTTAATTATTTTTCTATTATTATTTCCTTGAAGTTACTAACTCGTTTATTATTTTATAGTTGCAAGCAAACAGAATCAAAATAATAATTATGTTCCTTTTATTTCTATTATTTTTCTAACGATTTTATATTGTTGGAATTATTGTTAAATTGCTTCCAATATTAATGTTTATTCTATTATTTTTCTGATCACCATATTGAAATATGAAATTCTAATTATTTTATGTTTCGTAATTATGCATATCACGATTATACTGGTCCTATTTTATATCTAAAACGCTCGGAAATACTCAGAATTTATCTTTCTTTACGCTTAAACCACACCGTTGCAGAATACGCGCACCGTGACACGGGATTTACCACCGTGTCACGGGAATTTTTGCCGCGACACAGTAGCTTTTGCCGTGACACGGTGTATAGTGTCGTGTCGCGGTGCCCACGCGTTTTCTTTTTAAATCCTTTTCCTATTTTTATCCGGATTTTAATTGTTTTATCTTCACCCTTTATCTTGTAATTCTGTTTTTCGAGAGTTTAATTCCTAATAAAATTCTCATTTTTTTATATTATTATTTTTTATGTTATTTTTATCTTTATTATTTTATTTTATTATATTATTCTTGTTTCTATTTATCTTCATTATTTATTATTTTAGTTTATTATTTACTCATATTTCTATTATTATTATTGTTTTCTTTCTTTGGGGAAGTTGTAAACTTGTCCCGTTTCCATACTTATTTATTTTGGAGGAGTTGCAAAACTTTTCCCTTTTTTCTTTTCTTTTTATTTCTTTTTTCTTTTGGAAAAAGTCAGTACCCTCCACTTACTCCACTTACGTATTTTTTTTTCGCGTCATTCATAAATACACAATCACACACGATGAGTCTCAAGCACTTACACACACTAATAAATACATAAACTGTGAATAATGTGCAAAATGAGTCGTGACGCATAAGCAGTGTCAAGTGTCACCAACTAAAGTACAAATAAGGACCCTCGGTCAAAAATCTATAGAACTAGAAGAGTGAGGATCAGTGTCCTCTCCAGCCTGTGAATATGGGAGCGGTGAGCCAAAGAGTCCCACCATCATCCGGGTACGAGGAGTAGTATCCCTACTAGTCCCTAGAACCCCAGTAGCAGTCAAACTCAAAGTAGGACCCGTCCAACTAGCAAACGGTGTAGACGGACTCCAAGAGGTAGGAAGCGTCGGTGGAGGCATTGTCCCATACACTGCAACTGAAAACAAGCCTGACATCGTTGGAGAAAGCCCCCCCCCCCCAAGACGATGGAGCTGAGTATAAGCCATGATCCACAGGAGTGATAACTGGCCTGAACTCAGGCTGTGAAGACTGTGAAAACGAATGTTGCTGCCACTGACCCTGGCCCTAAAAGTGTTGGAACGACTGGGAAGACTGAGGCTGCTGCCACTGAGCCTTCTAAAAGAGATGAGAAAGTTGAGGCTGCCGCTGAGACTAAGAATGCCGATAAACCTCAGGAGATCGTCTGCCACGAATAGGCTCTCCCTCATCCGAGCCTCTATGCCTCGAGCGCGAGCGGGACCTCCGTCGCTCCTTAAGGACATAAAATCAAAAGATGTGAGCAGTGCGAAATAGAACAAATGGTAAAAATGAGAAAAAAGTCAACATACCTCAAGAACATCGCCAGAACAGCCTCGACAACTCGCACCACGCCGAAGCTTGATGATGCAGTAATTCAAAGCGTCAACCAGCTTCATGAATCCCATCATATCCGAGCGGGTAGGCTAAGAACAAAGCAAAGAAAAAATCAGTAACAAGCGGTATTAAAAGGGATAATTAATGTATCAAAAGATTATCGGCTCAAAAACATCAGGTAAAGAATCCTGCGCCTGTCTGAAACCCTCTGGCGCTTCAGCATTATGGTCCTTAGTAATACCGATAAGCCCCAGGTAGTGGACGGATTGAGGCGGGATCTCAATCCTCCCCACACGGCGAACAGTCGTTTGAAAATACGATTGAATAATCAGATTATTCGACGGCTTAAATAGAGACTAGCAACAAACTTATCAAAAGAAATCATACCTCGGGAAGACGGGGTGGAGGAGCCAAGGAGGGAAGCATGTCCTGCGCATAATCTCCCTCCATACGCACAAGCTCCTGCTAAGGAAAAGTGTAGCACTCTCCCCTGTGTATCAACTCCCTAAACAAGCGTGAGTCCAGCATCGACTCCGGTGGAGACAAGGGCACCACAAAGTGATCACTACTGTGCTGACAAACGATACGCTCCCCCAGATACTAGACAAAGCGTCCAGTACCAACAAAAACAGTGCGGTTCGCCGAAAGCTTCAAAGCCTCGAGAAGATTAGTCATCCTAGCCCAAGGACGATACTTGATATCAACAGCAACCTGAAAATCACAAAGAGTTGCAATGAAACGGTGAAAATAACGTCAAGGTAGAAAATAACGGGCTACAAAAGTAATTCTTACACCAACAAAAGAGGTACCTCGGTCACGCCAACATGCTCCGATGGGGAAGTCATGGACCGCTCCACGACGCCGTCGAGGGGCCAATCCCAGAAAGTACTCATAGAACCATAGGTGTAATGAGAAGTAATCTTTGAGCACATGAGTTGAACAAATTAAAACAAAACAAGAAGAGGAAAGGTCGTCACCTCTACGACTCTCCATAAACCGTAGACAGTGACAGGGGCCTGGTCGTTCAGCTGCCTACAACCATGACGTAACGACAAGAGAAGATCGGCATATCCAAGGCAAGCCCAGCTAAAGGATCCTATCTCACTAATCCTAAGCAAAGAAGGAAGGTAGCAAACAAGCGCACGTGAACTCCTATCAGGAGAAAGAGTCATGGAAATGAGAATCAAAATGAAGATTCGCACTCGCTGCTCAGGTGATTCTCCTCCATGTCAAAACCAAGGGCCAGAACAGAAGCCAACTCTGATCGCCCGCTCCTAGGATCACCTCGAGACACCGGCCGAGTCCTGATGTGCTGAACAACCGGACTAACAAATCGGCTACCTCGGCCGCCCCTTAAGAAAGATCAGACATCTGTTGTACAACCCGGTCGGTGAAGCGTAGACCACTGATCATGCTAAAATCCAGAGGGGTCACTGTCATCTCCCCCAAGAAAAGTGAAAAGTGTTGGTAGTATCCCAAAAATACTCCAACAACGCGCGAACGACTGTCGCGCCATAACCATGGGGGCTGCGAAACCCTACGATCGCCGAATAAAAATCTACTAAACCAACAGATTCCCACAAGGCGTTCGTAACTTGATCCCTCGTGATAATCCCATGAAGTCGAGGAAACAAATCTCCAGCTCCAGAACCGCGATGGCGAAGCGTGCCATAGACTATGTCGAAAAGTGGACAGTGAGAAACGTGGTTCTCACGGCAGAACACCAACTCATCTGACGACCACTGAGGTGGAACCCACCTGCCCCTACTCGAATAAGGAAGAGCCTCCGTCTTTTGGGCATCATCGCCCATGCCCTCAGGAACTGTAGGAGTGTCCTCGCGAAAAGCCTGACGTCGGCCACGAGTGGAAATATCGCGATCCCGTTGTCTAGGCATGCTATTACAAAAATAAAAATCTAAATGCTTAGCATCATATCCTAAGTTATTTAGTTATTTATTCCAAACAGCTTAACGGTTATTTCAAGTTGCATTTTCTATTATACGCTAAATTTTTACCTCAAGCTAAAAATTAGCAAAATAATGGAATTATTTCTAGTATTTAGTTTCTCCATGACAAACTAATACTATGTTCTCCTAATTGCATGATACTATGTTCTCCATGACAATGTAGTACATACACAAAACAAAACATGTTTCAAAATTGCGTGATACTATATTCTCCATGACAATATAGTACATACGCAAAACAAAACATGTTTCAAAATTGCACGAAAACAATATATCAGCATTTCAAATGCAAATGAACAACATGAACAACAAGAACACCATTTCACAAAAGTAGTACCAAAAAATGGTGATTTACTTAATTCTTCACCAAATCACGCAATTTTTGTCTCAAATCGCTCACAGACACACATAAATACATATACAAGCTAATTCATGCCAAAAATTTCAACATAAAACCTCAAAATCAGAAATCCCTCAATTGATTATTCAAAGGTTTTTACATGAAATTACTTACTTAAAGCAAAATTCGAGACAAAAATCAAAGGAACTTACATGGATCCTTGTGGAGAATCGAAAATGAAGAAAATAGCAAAAAATTAGAGCAAAATTGATGAGGATTTGAGCTACAAAGCTCGAAAACCCGTGAAAACAACAGTAACGGGCACCGCGACACGATTAGCCAAAGCCGTGACACGGTGTTCAGGTCCCGTATCACGGTGAATCTAGGAAACAGCGGAGCTCTGGCCAGCAGCGGCTAGCACGAGAACAATTGCAGCAAGGAGCAGTAGCGGAGGAAAGAAAAAAAAACAAAAGGGGGCAGCAAAACCGCCGTGTCACGGTGAACAAAATCATGACACGGCGAACACGGGCATCCGCCGGTGCAGCAAAACCGTGGCACGATACTCTGAGAAACATAAAATAAAACAAAATGGAGAGGAGAAAGAGCAGAAGAAGAAAGGAAATGGCAAAAATGGTGAAGAGCAGCTCAAATTTAAAGACAAAAGCATCCCGTTACATCCCCGTTTCCTGTGCCTTAGAGTCCGTTACCATGTAACGGTAAAATTCTGACGTGGCGCGCTGTACTTTAGTTGGCCAAAAACGCTGAAATTGAGCGTTTGACCATTTCTGCAGTCACAAAAATCCCGCGTCACAGGATTTTATTCCGCATGACGGGACAACCTGCCGTCTCACGGGAGTTTTTCTTCGTGACACGGTGGTCTCGCGCGTGTCCTGCACATTCTTTGAAGCTGTCAGCGAATATTCCTGGCATTTTGACCAAAATTGCATGATTTTCCACACAAATTAAACAGTTAGTTTTTCAGTAAAATTACGCGGAAAATTCTAACTGACATTTAAAAGGTATCAAAACTACTATTTTGCACCTAGCAAGCATCAAAGTCAATTTGTCGACGTTTTAAACACCTAATATGGTCGGATAGTCGATTTGAAGGTGTGAATCATCTGCGGCCCACGTTCGGGGATAATCGAACCATCATACACTTGCAAATTTCAGCGATTACATCAGTTGTCGGTTTTCCTCAAGAATGGAAAACGTTATCGGTGGATTTTTTCTTCAAGTATAGAAAACCGCCAAGTCGGCTTTCCTCAAGCAGAGAAAGCGTTATCGGTGGATTTTTCTTCAAGTATAGAAAACCGCCAAGTCGGCTTTCCTCAAGCAGGGAAAGTGTTATCGGTGGATTTTTCTTCACGTATAGAAAACCGCCAAGTCGGCTTTCCTCAAGCATGGAAGGCATTATCGGTGGAATTCTTCAAGCATAGAATGACACTAAATTCATACGTCGACATTTCTCAGGCATGGAAAGTATCATCCGGTAGGTTACTTCAGGCTTAGAAAGCTACCAAATTCCTCAGTCGGCTTTCCTCAGGCATGGAAAGCGTTTCAACGAACGTTATCCGGTGGATTCCTTCAAGCATAGGAAGCTGCCAAACTCATTTGTCACCGATACACTGGTGTCAGATACATGTTCTATCCTTTTGCTCTTTTATCTGAGGAATTAACATTTTTCTGCAGGTATCGGCGTATACAGGGTGATTTAGGATCAAATCATTCTCGGTCCCTATCGACTACTTTGACTATCGTTTTCGAAACTAACGTTTCTACAAACTCAGTCAAAGTGGGGGCTTCTTTTGACACCTAAAAATGTCTCCCCAAAACCAAACCCGATGATGAACAACCTTTCACCGTCACTATTGGTCGAGTTCAGTATTTAAACCCGAGATTGCTTAAAAAATCGTATTTAATCAAAATCAATTTTTTAATAATCCATGGATCAGTCTTGATGTTTAGTCAAAGCATAGTTTTTTTTTTTCATTTCAGCCCAAACCTTTGTTTTTACTTTATTGTTTTATTTTTTATTTTGGCCCAAACATTTTATTTTATTTACTTATTTTCTTATTTTAGCCCAAATAATAATAGTAAATCAGAAATGGCCTGAAATTATCAATCGGCACTTAAAATGCTTAACGAAATTAGGGTTAAAAATGAATTTAGATGGAAAAATTGACCAGGACTCCCGCGCCACGGCATTTGTGCACCGTATCCTTTCCGCGTAAACCCTTAACGAGTTTTCTCCCCGTTCACTAATTGTTTCCCGCGTCACACAGCTGTACACCGTGTCACGGGAATGTTTCCCGTCTGACGGTGGGATTTCCCATGTCAAGGTACGCTTTGTCGTGTCGCGGTATACATTTTTAGGGTTTTTCTCTTTTTAGGGTTTCGTGTGTTCCCTCAGCACATTTTTTATATTAATACCCCCCTCATTTATGATGTACGGGGCATCAATTAATTCTCTATTTTTCTCTCTTCTATGCTCTAGCCTAAACACTAGCCTACTCTTCTTCTTTCAAAATTTCTTCTTCAAGCACTCCAAGGAGTCCATACTTTACTCGTGTTTCTGTCCTTAAGCCAAGGCGTGAAATATAGAACTGCTTGAGGGTTTTGCCCCAAATAAATTCTATTAAATTTAATTTAATTATTGTTTTATTATTATTTCCTTGAAGTGACTAACTCGTTTCTTATTTTATAGTTGCAAGCAAACAAAATCAAAGTAAGAATTATGTTCCTTTTATTTCTATTATTTTTGTAACGATTTAATATTGTTGGAATTATTGTTAAATTTCTTCCAATATTAATGTTTATCCTATTATTTTTCTGATCACCATATTGCATGTTAAAGGGAATATGTAATTGAAAATCACGCCTAATAAGATAATTTGGACAACCGATTTAGGTTCCTTTTTAATCTTATTGTTTAATCAAGTGATCACGATATTTTAGAATTATATGTTGCATTAATATTCAACCAATTTAGCCTAATAATAGTTTGGAGCAAATTGAATATTTTGTTTGTATGCCTTTGAGATAGCAGGAATCACTTTTCACAATAAGAATCGAGTAGAAGCCAATACGGGAGAATGTGACTCCATGACTCACTTTGTACCATCATCCCCGATCCTCCTTTCATGGTTCCGAACCATATGGAGTTAGTAATCTCATGGATTATGAATGGGGTGTAACATTCAATCGTTGTTGCCTATCGCTCTCCCTTTATTCGTGGTTGCCTTTTATGATCCGTGAACGGTTTACAAGTTCCTTAAAAACTTGTTGGCGGCTCCTTACTTTCCTTGTCCCTAATCGTATACGTCAGTTTCCACTTCCTAAGAGTGCCAAGCATATTCATACATGCTTTAACGTAGGCACACTTCGAACGACGCCTACAGTACCGTCCACAAAGTGAATAAAATACACAATCACACACAATAGGTCTCAAGCACACACTAATATACACTAATAAATGCATAAACTGTGAATAAAATACACAAAGTGAATTATGATGCATAAACAGTGTCAAGTGTCATCAACCAAAGTACATAATAAAAACCCTCGGTAAAAAATCTATAGAACTAGAAGTGTGAGGATCAGAGTCATCTCCAGCCTCTGAATACGGGAACGGTGGACCAAAGAGTCCCTCCATCATCTGGGTATGAAGAGTAGTATCCCTCCTAGTCCCTATAGCTCCAGTAGAACACAAACTCAAAGCAGGACCTATCCAACTGGCAAACGGTGTAGACTGACTCACAGAGGTAGGAAGCGTCGATGGAGGCACCGTCTTAGACAATGGAACTGAAAATAAGCCCTACACCGGTGGGGGAAGCGCCCCAGACAATGGAATTGAGTATAAAACTCTGGTCCGCAGGAGTAATGACTAGCCTGAACTCATGCTGTAAAGCCTGGGAAGATGCAGGCCGCTGTCAATGGCCCTGAAAGTTCTGGAATGGCTGAGAAGACTGAGGCTGCTGCCACTGAGCCTCATGAAACGGTTGAGAAGTCTGAGGCTTCCGCTAAGACTGAGAATGCCGACGAACCTCAGGATATCGTCTGCCGCAACTAGGCTCTCCCTCGTCCGAGCCTCTGTGCCTCGAGCGCGAGCGAGACCTCCGTCACTCTTAAAAGACACAAAATGAAAAGATGTCAATAGTTTAAGATAGAACAAATGGTAAATATTAAAAAAAAAGTTAATATACCTCGAGAACATCGCTAGAACCGCCCAGACAACTCGCACCACGTCGAAGCTTGATGATGCAGTACTTCAAAGTGTAACGAAAATTCATGAATCCCATCATCTTCGGGTGCATAGGCTGATAAAAAAGCAAAGAAAAATCAGTAACAAGCGGTATTAATAAAGATGAATACTGTCTCAAAAAGCTTACTGGCTCAAACATATCAAGTAGAGACTCATGTGCCTGTCCGAAACCCTCTAGCGCGTCAGCAATATGTGTTGGGTTTTGGTAAGTCCAACTTACTGCGGAAACGTCCCTGACCCAAAGAACCACTCGCAATTAATAAAATCATAAAGCATAACAAATAAACATAAAAGGATAAAATCGAAATTTACCTTTGACGCGTGGTTCGCCCGACCTAATGGGCTCTTACTTGAAAGCTTTAGCTCCGAAAATATCGATCCTCCAAAGGTATCCACCCACAAAGGACGAACACCGACTTTTTAGGTCCACTACCTTGGAGTTAGCAAGGTCCGACCAAAACATAAGTGTTAATGGAGTTTAAGAGTTTTTGCCAAAATGCAATGCTCTTTTTAACTCCCACTCAAGCACTTTTCTCCAAAACCCAACTTGGGTATTTATAGAGAAAAGTGGGAGTGAGAATTTCAATCCTATCAATGTGGGATCATGAAATTACACAATTTAATTTAAAGCTAAAATAAATTAAATAGGCAAGCAAGTAATAAATCAACAAGTTTCTTTGTTGTATGTAAAGAGAAGTGAAGACCACTTGGAGAGGAGGGGGCCATACTTGCTCCTCACTCCTTTCTCTCCCTGTGCCACTTGTCCTCACACAAACACACTCCCTTTACATGCTTTCCCAATGAACCTCCCTAACACTCGACCCAGCCTAGCCCCGCACACGCGGGCTGCTAGCTGCAGCCTTCTCGGCCCAGCACGCCCACGCACATATGTATGGGGTCACTACAAGAAAATAACCTTTTCATAGCGATTATTTTAACCTTTAGTATCGATTGTAGTTGCAACAAAAAGCTTTCCCAACGAATAGTCATTCGATACAATATCCCTCGTTGCCTTAGCCTTTAGTACTTGTTTTCAACATTGCTGGGGTTGAACTCAATAATCGATACGAAAAACTACATCCAATCGCGGTGATTATTGTAGCGATTATAATCGCTATAAATGTTGAACTGTTTTCTTCCAAATAAAACATACATATGATCTTTACAAAATTCGAACATGCAACCTCACACTTTTATATTAAATGTTTCACCAATAAACTATGACATATTTATGTATTCTCTGTCAAACAATGTCTATAGATCTAGCGTAGAAAAGGCTTTTTGTATCGATTTTTGGGATTTAGTGGCGATTGTAAATGATACGATTTCTCATCATTTTATAAATGTGCAAAAATAGTGTGGATATGTATTATTATGTTTTCCGTATCGACTTTATATGGGAAAACCGTGGCGATTGTAAAATGATATGATTTCCTTAATTATTTCAAAAACATACTTGCATATTGTAGCGAATGTATAATCGCTACAAAATAATCGCTACAAAAAAGACAATTTTCTAGTAGTGGGTTATGTTGCCGATGGGAGCTGCTAGCAAGCCACGCACATGTGCGGGCTGCTAGCAGTGGCGCGCGCCAGCAAGCCACGCAATGCTTGCGGGCAGCTGGCCGTGGCTCGCTAGCAAGCCTCGCACATGGTGCGGGCTGCTAGCTTGCCTAATCCCCTAGCACTCGGGATTTCGATGTTAGGGGTATTTTAGTCATTGTTGATTTATTACTAATTTTGCCGTCTCGTCTTTTACTATTTTTGACTCGACTTCCGACGCTCGGTTTCGATGCTCTATGCTCGAATTTCCGAGGTCTAAATATTTAACACTCGGGCGACGAATTTATTTTTTCCGAGTTAATTCGTTGAGTCGGTTCATATATTTGCTAGGGTGTGACCCGAAGGGTTCAGTCAAAATTAAGATGTAATATTAATTATACATTAATATTACTGATCGGAAGCGGCCTCCACCCAGACATTCCGATCACTTGACCTTACTAAATATGTTAGCTTTCTAATAATTCTGAACCCGCTATCAAAATAATACACTTGTTCAAAGGACACCATTCCTTTCAATCTCCTACTTGTCCTTCCGGACAAGTGAGCATTTAGTGTATAGCCCCTTTCCTATGTCTCTTCATGTCTCTTCATGAATTATAAGGTAAGATTATTTAGTCATCCTTATTACGTCCAGAAGTGTTTCTCGATTCCGAGTCCGACTGTCAATAAACAGATGATTTCTAAAATCCATCCGAGCACGGCCATGCATTTTTACAGTCTCGCTCTACGAGTGGCTTTTGAGGAAAACTTTAAAGGACATAAAGAAAAATCAGAGTAAAACTGATGTGAAGAGTCGTCTAGGTGACAAAGTGATTCTTGTTAAGGAACGCTTGGGTGAAAGAGTTGAGTTCAAAACACCTACAATGCCTAAGAAGAAAAGCTCTGCGAAGGATAAAGGAAAAAGGAAAGATGACACTACAGAAAAAAAGGCTTGGGTAGAAAAGAAATATGGGGTCCTAGCTAAAGGAGAAACTATTTACACCAAAATTGAATGTAGGTTCTCTAAAGGATGCCTACTAGCTAAAGTTATGGATGAGGAAGAAGACGCAGATAAGAATTGGAGAGGGCAAAGAACGAGAAAAAAGATTAAAAGCATTGCTTTTAAATTCAAAGTTAATTTATTAAGCTTTATTTAGATTCCATTAATAATGTAACATATTTTATTAATGAGATTCCAGCTTTTTAATTAAATTATCTCCTTTAAATTTAATTTATTAAAGCAATGAAAACCGAAAATTTAATTTTCCAGAAATTTTTCCGAGTACGGAAGTAAAAAAATTTCCAAAAAACACCGAAATATTCCCAGGTATTTTACAAAAATTTGGCGCCGCGATTTTACGACTAACGCCAACTGCGGCAGAGGCTGTCGTCTGGCTCTAAGATTCATCGGCTGGCGCTAGAATTTTTTTATGACGCCGATGTTTCGTCGATCTTCTGTTGAATTTTTTATTAGGTCTAAGATGCGAGGTTTCAAAAAAATAAAGTGGCCGCACCCGTAAAGGGTTGCCTACGTATCATTTCTTAAGGAATCAGGCCAAACGTAGCTCTCTTGAGTGTCCTACTCAAGTGATTATGGGTAGTATTTTTTAAGTTGGTCAAGATTTGTCATGTTCGAGAACTCATTGCCATCCATGTCAGTTAATTTTGCTGCACCTCTTGACAGGATTGTTTTGACAATGTAGGGTCCAGACCAATTAGGTCTAAATTTTCCCCTTGGATCTAAAACATTTTTCCTTAATGCTTTTAACACCAAATCTCCTACCTTGATGTTTCTTGTCTTGACCTTCTAATTAAAATGTCAAGCCATACGAGTTTGGTTACATTGAGTGTGATGTAGAGCTTCTAGTCGTTTTTCATCAAGTAGAATTAGCTCCTCATATCTTGCCCTAGTCCATTCAACTTCATTGAGTCTACTCTCTAATGTGATGCGTAGAGATGGAATCTCTAGCTCTACAGGTTGTACGACATCCATTCCATAAACCAAGGAAAATGGCGTATTTCCTGTTGACGTGCGAATTGACGTGCGATAAACCCACAATGCAAAGTGAAGTTTATCAGGCCAATCCTTGTAATTTTCCGTCATTTTCTCGATGATAGTCTTTAAATTTTTATTAGCTGCTTCGACTGCTCCATTTGCCCGAGATCTATAAGGAGAAGAATGATTATGTTGAATACCATATTTTTGTAGCAATTCTTCACACTCGGCTTGAAAGTTAGTTCCATTGTCACTTATCATATCATGTGGGACTCCATATCGACAAATAATATTTCTTCTGATAAAGAGTGCTACATGTTTTGCAGTGAGTTTGGCGTATGATTGTGCTTTGACACACTTTGTGAAGTAATCAATTGCCACTAAGATATATTCGTGACCTCCTGTTCCTGGGGGAGTATTTTGCCGATGATGTCAATTCCCCAGGTAGAGAATGGCCATAGCGACGTGTAGGTGTAGAGTAAAGATGGAGGAACATGTTGTAAATTAGCGTAGATTTGGCACTTAGGGCATCTTTTTACGTATTGATGGCAATCCCTATTCACTATAGTCCAATATTATCCTTTTTTCCTACACATAAGAGAGCTCTACCCTTAGGTACCCTTTTGTGTAACTCGTTGTCTATGAGTACGTATTAGGAAGCCAAGATGCCTAATGCTCGTTTTACTATTTTGTCAGTGTGGGGAGGGTATTCTCCTTTGGTGACATAGTTGAGCATATCCGTATACCATGGTTCTTCTTCTTCTTCTTCATGGGTCACTTCATCATCTTCTATAACTTGAATGTAAGCCGGTTTATGCCTTTTTTCTATAGTTGGAGGCATTTGCTTGATTTTCGTAGGAATCCTAACCATTGAGGCTAGTCCTGCCAAGGCATCAGCAAATTGATTTTCTTCTCTAGATAGATATGTGTATTCCACCTTCTCTAACTAATTAGTGAGGGTTTCCAAATAAGTTTGGTCAGGGGCTAGGCTTTCGCTCCTTACTTTCCATCTTTTGGAGATTTTATTGATGATCAATGAAGAGTCTCCGAATATCCGTAACTTTTTCACTCCCAATGCCAAAGCTGTTTCAAGGCTTACCACGCATGCTTCGTATTCAGCAGCGTTGTTGGTAACGTCGAAATCAAGCTTTATGGCGATTGGAACATGCTCTTCTTTAGGTGATACTAGTAACACTCCAACACCACATCCCTTTTGGTTTAAGGCTCCATCGAAGTACAAGGTCCAATTATCGTCTTCCGTGACCATCAAATCTTCGTCTTGAAATTCATTGTCGTGTACTGGCGTCAAGTCTTCTATTGGAAAGTCCGCTAGAAAATCCGAAACCACAGATCCTTTGATAGCTTTGTGTGGCATGAACCTTACATAGAACTGGGCTAAGTTGACTATCCATCTCGATATTCGCCCATTGAGTGTAGATTTCTCGAATAGATACTTGAGTGGATCTAATCGGGAAACTACAAAGACTGTGTGTACGAGCATGTAATGTCTTAACTTGGTTGTGGCCCACACAAATGCGAGGCACAATTTCTCAAATGATGTATAGCATGCTTCATACTCGAGCATCTTTTTGCTTAGGTAGTGGATCGCATTTTCTTTGCCTTCTACTTCTTGCGCTAGCATGGCTCCCATTGTCTCTTTGGTGACTGTTAAATACAGTCTAAGAGGTATTCCTGGAAGTGCTGGTGCTAATACGGGAGGATTTGCGAGATGGGATTTGATCTTTTCGAAGGCTTTTTGACACCCGTCATCCAATATCACTGGTACATTCTTTTTAAGCTTCTTGAAAATTGGTTCACATATTGTTGTCAATTTTGATATGAATTTGCTTATGTATTGCAACTTCACTTTTATTGGTTGAATCATTTGAGCTGTCAACTGTCTCAGTTTCCTCAATTATCGGTGTTTTCTTTTCAAGTGTTTCCATTGCTTTAATAAGTTCTT